TTCACAATGGTCACAATCTGTTCCCAGGTCGCGGCACCAGTTGTGGTGTTGGAATTCCCACGTGAACTCTAGCTACAAATGTAGTTAGGACGTTCCCACAACAATACGTCTACTAGGATAGTAAACGATCGTTCGGGCGGACCTGAAGACCCCAGTTCTGCCCTTGCACCGGGACAAACTGGACCTTGTAAACTACTTATATAGACCAACCAGTGAAAATAAGAACACGCTACTAGCACGAGCAAAGCTAGCAGGTGTTTTGAATCCTCGTGGTCCCAACAGCGGAAGGGTACCAGGCACGGGTAAGCCTTTTACGAGATCACCGAGTGGTCAACACTCGGCTAGAAGAAATAAAAGGGAGGCAATTAAAGCACTCCCAGTCGTGCAAATAGGCAACAATAAGCCGTCACGTAAAACCTCCCGATAATAATCGGCCAATTACACAAAGTCTCTTGGCCTTGCCGGATGAACCCTCGCTACAGCGCTTCGAGCTCACCGACGGGCATAACACACTCAAACAAGCTTGACCTGACGCTTACCTTGAGCCGGACGTCGCTCTGTGTGCTTGAGTGGAAATTCTGTTCTGTATTTAAGCTTACCCTTTCGGGTCTATTCCTAATAAGAAGTCCTAATCAAGTATACAAATATCAAGTGAACAATGATCCGTTATGGATCCTCTTGCATGCCAAGCGTCGTCTGCACCGTCGCATGAGCATCTTTAACGGTCCGCGCCCTGTCCCAGACGGTGAACGTGCCTTCCAAGGGTCGCTGAGTCTTCCGCGAACTCATCCCAACCGCCACTGAGGGTTCGTACCGTAGATGGTCCGCTGAATGCGAATCCGGCCAGTCCATTATTAATAATAAGGACAGCCTGGATTCAGTGACATGTGCCCGTATCCAGTACTCGTTGAACGTTCGGAGGTGACGCCGTCGAGTCCCTTGCATCTTGGAGTCTCCGTACATCACCTGACCGAGGGTTCGTCGCTTGAACAACTTGGGCGGTGTCACGTCTTTGTCGACGGGTGATAATCCGCAACTACGGAGAAATCACTACACCACAGCTTGCCATTGGAGCGGCTCGGATAGCACGGTCGGTGGGGTCGAAATAAATTCATCTTAGAATATGCAAAAATGACTCCACGACGTAGCTTCGGATCCTCTTGTAGCGGTCTAATTGCAAAAGTATTAGGAGGACGGTCCACAGGATCGCAACGAACACAGTCGTGAACACGGCAGTCAAGTGGGTCTTCAGCGATGCCATTTCGTGGCACCATTGAGCTGCAGGTGACGATTCTAAGTCCGCACTAAGTGAAATAGGTGGAGTAGTAGGCTCTGCTAGAGATGAAGTTTGTATCGGATTATTAGTGCGCTCTTGTACTTCATCCGGGGACGGCCGAGGTTGCTTGGCAAAGAAGTTTGTTATTGCTTGCTGTTTCTGTCTCTTGGGCGGCATCGTGCTTCAATACGGAAGTGTGGATTTAATCGTGGAAAGACTTAACTCTACTCGCTATGCCCCCCCCCCCTCTCTAATTTTGGCTGGCTCCGCCCCTGACCAGGTGTCAAAGCTTGCAAAGGTGGGTCGTTTGCTACGCAGTCAGGTGCTGGAGGCTCGGCCGGAAGCTAGTCCACGCGGCATAAAGCCATCGTAGTGCGCAGTTTCGGGGTTGCTCAAGAGTATTGTAGGCTTACGGTTTGATCAAGTTGTCCCGGACAACGGTTGGCTCACAGCATTGCTTATAGTGGTAGTCCACGCTTGGACCAAGAATTCAATGACTTCAGTGCATCTGAAAGACAAGGTTAACCCACGTAGCCCTAATGTTTTCCCGGTAGCTGGACCAGGCTCTAAAGAGATCTATCTTGATGGATCACATCAACCGTTAAAATTGGTCTTTGTCCGCTACAAATTCATCTGTGAGTCTGCGACTGTACCGTTTAGCTCTAAATCCTAATTTCCGCCTTTAAAACGTGGCTAGTTTAAAAGGCACTTGCACTTTAAATTTGTACTACCCGACTATTTCCGTGTAAGGTGGTCCACACAAGCGCGAATTAATCTTTTTTGGCTGGAGTAGGTTTGTAAAACACTTAAGCTTGTTCTAAAAAAAAATCTAAACATACTTCCATTTTTTGCGCGTTGGACTTCAAGCGACCACCGATTCACTAACACTAGACGAGAAGCGCACTGTAACTTCAAAGATCGATGCTGTTGGGCAGACCAGCAAGCTTGCCCTTGACCGATGCACTCACAGACACGCCCGAGAAGTCCAAGCCAGACACCACCTTTGGGTTAGCGACAATGTCATACAAGTTCGTCGCCGAGCCCGTAAGACCCGAAATGGTGACACCTGAAATGGTAACCTGGCTGGTAGGAGAGCCGGTGTAGCCGCCCTTGGCCTTGCTGTAGTCCGAGTGCATGACGACGGCGTTCTTGACGTTCGAGAGCTCGTTGTCGATGTATTTAACGTTCGAAACCAGACCCTTCAGTCCGATGATGGTCTTGATACGCACGCCGTTGTCACTGTTCTGAATCGTGTTTCCTTCGACTGTGAGACCATCGACGGTAGTTGACTGGTCAACACTGTTACCGCCCAGTGAACCGATCGAAATACCGTGGCCACCGCAGCACAGGTTGTAGCTGAAGACCGTGTTGGTACTGGACTGCATGGCGAGACAGTCGTCCTGGTTGTAAATCTTGTTGTGGGTGATCGTGATGTGGTCGTTCTTGGTCAGGTCGAAGCCGTCCGTGTTCTTGGCCAAGCCGTTGCCATCTCTCGAGTCAATGGTGAGACCCGTGAGTGTCGTGTCCTTACTGGTGACGATACTGAAGGTTCGGAATGGCATGTTCTTGATGGTAAAGCCAGACACAGTGGAGCTGACGACGTTCTGCAGCTTGAAGAAGACCGGACGGGTGATCGACTGACCCTGCTTCCAGTACCAAGCACCCTGGCCGTCGAGGATACCGGAGCCCTTGACGGTAAGGTCAGTTCCACTGACACGCACCAGAGGACCTTCCCACTTCTGCGTACCGAAAGTGGTGGTGCCGACGAACTCGATAGTGGCACCGGTCTTGGCAAGACTCAGGTCCAGCGTGACACCGGGTGGCACGCTGAGCGAGTTCACAGTAATACTGCTGCACTTGGAGATATCCGTGCCCTTCTTGTAAGTACCGGAAAGGGTGCAACCACTGCCCGACGGTGCCGACTGTTGTTGTTGCTGAGTCGGGTTCTGCTGCGTCGGATCCTGTTGCTGAGTAGGGTCTTGCTGCTGGGTCGGGTCGTCTTGCTGTACCGGAGCTTCCGTCGGTTGCTGAGTTTTCTTGCTCTTCTTTCCCTCCGCTGCTTGGCGGAGCATGGGGGAAGCCTCCGTCGTAGCAGCGAGGAGTGCAAACACAGCAAAGGCGGTAGAGAGGAGCTTCATGATTGAGTTATTCCTTTGGGAGCAGCTCTTGTGCGGGGTGTTGCACCGAAGAGGCAAATTGGGAAGTGAGGATCTAAGGATTTCAACCAGCAACAGTTGGAGCTTGTGCCCCCTCAGTCGCAACAGTAAACGAAGGCATGAGTCGGGGGACCGTTAGTTCGCCAAGGCAGGCTCAAACATCGGGCACGCCCTCTTTCAGTGCCCGTAGGCCAGATGGATCGCTCCGTACCCGGGCACAATGGCTCGCTCGAACGTCAATGGCCCAGGTCATGACTGACACACCACGAGCCAGCAAATCAAGACGAGCGAAGGTCCGCCGTAGACGGCGAGCAACCTGGACACTTACAGCACAAGAGATTTGAAATCCTGTCAAGTTGTCAACGTGCGACTGTAACAAGTGTTTCCTCTGCATGGAGCAGCTGGAACCGCCAAATAAAGGTCATGGAAGATAAGCACTCGCGCGAGGCGCATACACGCACATATACACTGTACTCTTTGATAGAGTCTCTTTCCTTAATAACAATGTTTGCTTGTATGGGTGCAGCTGTGAGAGCCTAACGAGCACTTTTGACCTACTTGAGTAGTACACTCGGAGTCGTCGTGTCTGGCCGCCACGCCCAGAGAAATTCTGTAGCACCACCGCGACGGGTTGACGCAGTTTCTTGCAAACAACGAGCTGGATGTTGGTGGAGCTCCCATCTCTGCACAAGTGTCAATATGGCGACACAGCAACGACACGACACGCTCGAACTTCGACTTCGTCGAGTCGAAACCGTTGACAGGGGGACCTGTTTTGGCTGTACATCGGACTTTCTTACAATACCAAATCTTCGGCTGCATTCGCTCTGAAGGCAATGCTCAAAATATCAAGCGGTAACCAGACTTCTTTAGACTGATGCAAGAAGTACAGGTACACTGTACTTGGTACAGTGGAAACGGTGGGACCCCAGGGTCAACCGAGTTTTGTTGGTGTGTTCCTTTGCTGTTTGCCATGTGGACACAATCGAACGAAATGGTGCGAGCGCTCAACAGCCTTCGACCAGCGGGTTATCAAGAACCAGGTGGCAGCGGGCGTCAACAGGACCTCTGTTAGCTTGTGCTCCGACTTTCGTGTCTCTTTGAAAACCGGTAGGGGTAGTCAGACTTAGATTTAGATACACGTGCACGTGGTAGATACAAAAAATGCCCAAAATAAGACCTAAATTTACCAGTTATTATGATTCGATGTACTTTTGGTGTGGGTCACATATTCTGGATTGTGCCCCGGGTATTAACGTTAGAGATTCACGCTATCATAATTCCCTTCAAAATATCTACGCACCGTAAGCCGGTAAGCTGCTCAGCTTCTGTGAACCTTGGTGACTATGCTCATTCGGGTGGCGCTGGTAAACACCGGTTTGGCGTTACCAACCTCGACGATGAATGATCGAGTCAACGTTTCCAAGCTCGCTTTCGGTGTACAACTGAAAGTAAATTTATCAAATTTCACATCAATTTATTGTTTTAGCTTCTCGTCTTCCCACTCTATTGGCCTCCTGTCGACCGGGAAGACTTCAACTGACTACAACAGAGGAAGACCAGATCCTCTAAACGACAACTCCACCAGGCACACCGTTCAGCTTGCCCTTGGCCGCCGCCTTCACCTGAATGCCCGAGAATTTCCAGCCGGACACCGCGTTCGGGTTCACCTCAATATCGTACAGGTTCGTGGCTGTGCCCGTCAGACCCGAGACGGTAACACCCGTAATCTGTGCCTTGCTCGTCGCAGCACCCGTGTAGCCGCCCTTGGACTTGCTGTAGTCCGAGTGCACCACAATGGCGTTCCTCACATTCGACAGATCGTTGTTAATGAACTTGACGTCTTTGACGAGACCCTGAAGCCCAATGATGGTCTTGATACGGAGGCCGTTGTCACTGTCGTGGATGTGGTTGCCCTGAACCGTAAGGCCCGCCACGGTGGTAGTCTTGTCAACGGTGTTGCCTCCTAGAGAGCCAACAGAGATACCGTGGCTGTTGTAGCAGTGGTTGTTCGTAAAGAACGTGTTGGTACTCGACTGCATGGCGAGACAGTCGTCCTGGTTGTAGATCGTGTTGCCCGTGATCGTAATGTGGTCGTTGCAGCTCAGATCGAAGCCGTCCGTGTTCGTGGCAATGCCGTTACCAGCCCTGGAGTCGAGTGTCAGGCCCGTGAGAGTCGTGTACATCGAGTCAACGATGCTGAACGTGCGGTACGGCGCATTCAAGATCGTAAAGCCCGAGATCGTCGAGTGAATGGCCTTATGCACCTGGAAGAACACCGGACGGGTAGTTTGCTGGCCCTGCTTCCAGTACCAGGCTCCCTGTCCATCAAGTTTACCGTTGCCCTTCACGGTGACGTCCGTTCCACTCAGTGTAACAAGAGGGCCGTTCCACTTGAGCGTTCCGAAAGTGGTCGTGCCAGTAAATTGAATGGTAGCGCCGTTCTTGGCTCGGCTGAGATCCAGCGTCACACCGGCAGGGACACTGAGAGAGCCAACAGTGATGGTGCTGCATTGCGAGATGTCGGTGCCCTTCTTGTACGTGCCGGTGAGGTTGCACGTGCTGGTGCCTTGCTGTTGCTGAACTGGGTTGTTGTTACCTTCTGCTTCTTCACGCAACATGGGTGAGCCATTGACGGTGGCAGCGATGAGTGCGAAGGCAGTGAGAGCAGCGTGCGTGAGCTTCATGGTTGTGTTTTGGCGGGTAGGGGGGAAAGTGCTGGATTGAAGGCAAATTGGGAAGTGAGGGGTTTGAGATAGGGGGTTGGGTGGTAAGGATTTCCTGGTGTGCGCTCTCAGGTTAACGTTGGGTCAGCCCCATCATTTTTTTTTTGCTCGAGCAATCGCTCAGCGATTCGCTGGTCTATCCATTAGGAACAATGGATCGTTATTATAGTATGAAGGACGACGGGTAGTCGATACACCCACCTTTGAAGTCCAACCACAAAGATTACAGAATTCTGCTAATGCTTATCAGTAAGATTGACAGCTCATTATGGACGAAGTCGTACAGTACCGGTAGCCACTTTCTGCATTGGAAGCCCGTTGATAATACTGTACATGTGGCTGATCAACAACACCAAGAAAATGCTGTACCGAATCGGTACTACTACACTAGTATTATCAAAAATACCGATACATGTACCAGTACTGCTCTTAAACATGAACTGTACCGGTACACGTACATGTAGTTCATAACGTGACGGATTGTATTAAAGCATATGGTTTTCAGGAAACGAGCATAATCGCGATCGACGGCTTGTCAAAAGTCTTATCGCTTGCGCGGGATAGGTTTCCGACTCGTAAAACATACCGATCTGTGCATGGCAAACCAACGGAAGGAATTGACAATGCTTGTTTAAGGAGCCACAGTGATTATAAAAATAGCTGATTTCTTAGCTGTCTTGCGCTCAATCATCGATAAACTGCACAGTACATGTAGCTATTTGTGGCGAACGTTGATCAAGTTGTTTATCAGTACTGTACCGATACTTCAACGATAGGTAGCGAATAATACGGAATAATACGCCGTCTACTATTATTATAGAGCGCGGTCTATAGGAATTACTGCGTTGAATTCGATGGCGTTGTATTTTTTGGTAAGCGCTGACAGCTAAGGTGGTTAAGACAGCCCCATTGGGGAGCACGGTTGTCGCGGGTTCAAACCCCATCAAACCCTTTAATTCTCCGCGCTAACTGTAAGTCTCTTCGCTCTGTTGTCATTTTACGTAGCTCCCTTTCTTTAATCTCTTGTCGTAGGTTAGCTCGATGAGCTCGATAGTCCCGAGCAGTGGCTTGCCAGCACCACCGATGATGCGACAGCGAGATGAAACTTCGGCGCGAATTCGCTCTCGGTCCCGCCACCAAGCATGATGCGCTTATAGGCCAACCCAACTGACGAAAGTGCTTTTCAGCACGTGATGGAATACGTTGTGGCGGCATGACAGCAAAACTGAAAATGATCCCAGTTAAATGGTAGCAATCAAGAAATGTTAGAATTTTAGGGTACTTTTCGATACGATTGGCTTAAAAAAGTTGAAATAAAGATGATAGAATGTCCACGGCAGCGCATGGCGTTATCTTTCTATAAAACGCTCTCAGACAGAGCGCTCAATTAGGAGGGCGTTTTATTCGCTAGGAGAGCATTCGCTATAATACGTTAACAGTGTAAATGTAGCATTACATTTGTCTTCGTATTCGACGTTCGTAGTCTAAAACATTAATATTTCGTCCTATTACTACATTGTCAGCATAAAGTAGTACTTATACAAATGAAGAGATCACCAAAGAGGTGGACCAACGCTATGAGTCATATCTGAAGCATACATCAAATTTGTTGAATTGACTCAATATCCCTGCTCAATATGTCTACTGTCGACTATTGGGTTACGGTTACGACTCATGGCCTTTAATGATAGGTGTAATTAAACGGCAAGGTTGTTTGGCATTCCGGCGAGCGTACCCTTGAGTGAAGCGCTCACATCAATATCCGTGAATGTCCAGTCCGACACGACCTTGGGGTTCGTCTTGATGTCATACAGGTTACTAGCTGAGCCGGTAAGGCCAGCAACCTTGACCCCAGTGATCTGCACTTGACTTGTGGGGGCACCAGTGTATCCACCCTTGGCCTTGCTGTAATCCGAGCGGATGACGATGGCGTTCTTGACGTTCGAGAGCTCATTGTCGACGTACTTGACGTCCGATACGAGACCCTTAAGACCGATGATAGTCTTGATACGAAGACCGTTGGTGCTATCTACGATTGTGTTTCCTTCGACTGTGAGACCCTGAACCGTAGTGGACTGGTCGACGCTGTTGCCACCGAGAGAGCCAACCGAGATACCGTGGCTACCGCAGCAATAGTTATAGCTGAAGACTGTGTTGGTACTGGACTGCATGGCGAGACAGTCGTCCTGGTTGTAAATTTTGTTGCGGGTGATCGTAATGTGGTCGTTCTTGGTCAACCCAAAGCCGTCGGTGTTCTTAGCGAGACCGTTACCGGTTCTAGAGTCAATGGTGAGGCCCGAGAGGGTTGTATCCTTGCTGGTGACGATACTGAAGGTACGGAAGGGCATGTTCTTGATGGTAAAATCAGATACCGTGGAGCTCAAAACGTTCTGGAGGCGGAAGAAAACGGGACGAGTAATTGCCTGACCCTGCTTCCAATACCACATTCCCTGACCGTCAAGAGTACCGGTGCCTTTGACTGTCAGGTCAGTCCCGCCGACCAGAACAAGCGGACCAACCCACTTTTGAGTACCAAAGACAGTAGTGCCAAGGAACTCAATGATGGCACCCTTCTTGGCCTTGCTCAGATCAAGAGTGACACCCGCCGGCACCGACAACGAGTTGACGGTAATGTGGCTGCACGACGAGATGTCGGTGCCCTTCTTGTACGTGCCCGTAAGGTTGCATCCCTTGCCCGACGTCGTCGGCTACTGCTGTTGCTGCACCGGATCCTGTTGGACCTGGTCCTGCTGTTCTTCCGGTGCCGCGGTCGGCTTTGGGGTTTTCGACTTCTTTCCCTCTGCAGCTTGGCGAAGCATGGGCGAGGCCTCAGATGTAGCAGCGAGGAGCGCGAAGACGGCGAGAGCAGTGGAGAGAAGCTTCATTGTTCTTGTTGGAGCTGAGTCCGTGCTTACCGACGCGAATTGAGAAGTGATCAGTCGGAATCAAATGGCGATACGAGTGTCCCTTACCTCCCGTGGGTAAACCTCGACTTGATGTAGTGACCATTACTTTGCCATACGCTTCAGCTTAGTGGTATACTGTACGACTTCAGCAGCTGAGCTGAGTCTAGCACTGCCATATGGCTTGCGCTCGTACACTAATACAGTACTGCACCCCGTATTCGCGCCCTTGGACCTTTGATAAACTTCCGGATGTGATGATCCTGAGTCCAATAGAACTATTGATTGTCCGCTAAAATCGGATTTATTTGCAGATCCTATATGATCCACCCCCGCGAAAACGGGGTGCAGTACTGTACTTCTTTAACTTCTTGGCCAGCGCGATCCGCTTCTATGGACGCAGAATTTTAATGCATTTTAATCGATAGACTTCAAGATGTACGGTGCAAGTTGGCGTGAGCACGCTTTTAATAATACTGTATGTACCCTGGTGTCGGGGGCACGTGAAATTCGCAGGCATTTGACTCCCATTAAGTCTGCGCGGCAATTCCAGCTGCTCGATTCGGTAGGAACACTTGTACAGTCGCAAGCTGACGGATCGGCTCGCTGATTTGCCGGTCTCCGTAAACGGAGTTGCTACTCTTGATACTGGGCTCAAAGTTTTGATACTAGGTATCCAAAGGAGCAAAATAAATTCGTTTTGGCACAGCTGCTCACATATCTTATCTTATGTACAGTAGATCATCAGGAAATAAACTCACGCTCCCCCCCTATAACTGTAAAAAAATGCTTAACTTTTTATGACAGGCTACGGGTACGTGCTGTTGCATTCGTGACACAAAATCGTGTCGTCAATCCGAAATGCTCGATGATGTGCCATTCGCTGGCTGCTGCTTCGATGCGCATCTCTGCACAGGCACGCAGCCCTCAGAGTGCGTATTGACAACACTGTGTTCTATCCAGCACATTTTACATGTTTGTAGACGTATGAAAGTAGACTTCGTCCTAAAAGGCGAGGTCTCACGTTAGCCTTTCTGTTCTTATTAATACTGTAGGTATAAAACCCAATCGACGGACCACAAGTTGGTTCAAAGGTTCGCCCGACTATGCACTGACCTCCGTTAATAAATGATTTAGGAAAGTCGATGCTCAGTCAGGCAAAATAACCAGTGCCAATGATTTATACTGTACCTGTAACAGGTTTTGGTGCGTTCGAACGACTCTGGGGGGGGGTACAATCTCACGAAATTGTCGCCAGCGGGGTATCAAGAATTAGCGTTAGTGGACACTGTTGGTGGCTTGGGGGCATCATGTGTTCCGAGTCGGTGAAGGCTGAGGTGTTTGGTCACTAAAACTCCGACCGCGAGTATTCTAAT